TTTAGTTAAATCCAAATGAGGGAACAAGTTAGTACAATGTTCTAAATTCTTAAATTGTGGCCATGATTTAAAGGTGCAGTATGTAATATTGACAGTAGGTGGTTGAAATGGGTACCACAGTCCAAATTCAAAATATTGGAGAGAGTATACCACCCCCTCCTCCTTAGACTTGTTGCCAGATTGAGGACACACAACAGGAACGAGCGCAGTTGACAATCGAAAGCGACAAGCCTTATACTGCAAGTTGATCAGCTAATGTAATAAAATTTGGTAGTAGTTGAGGAGAGAAACCTGACATTGATTGTAAAGCGCTTTGAGTGTGCAGTGGTACATAGGAAATGAGCTACATACATATACATCATTTATTCATAATGTATACGTTTGAAATGTTTTATTGCCGATGCTTTTTAGGTCGGGTAAAAATTGCGATCTCTGACCTAGTTCTTTTGGTGGCTTCCATAGCTGCAATACGCTGTTTTCCTCCAACTGGAAACCTGGGGTGTTGAAATACTATTGGGTAAACTTGCAGTGGGCGGGATCACACAGACCAAAACAAAGACAGACGCTCTGACACGGAACGCACATTTCAATTGTTTTTTGGAGAACATTTTTTTTAAATCTCTGCTAAATTTCTAAATTTTTATGATTTAGTATGGTCAAAAAAATTACACACAGCACCTTTAACTAAGATGAAGGAACAAATTCTTAATTTGTGGCCACGATATATTTGTCTGCATGTCATGTATGAGGCTCCATAAAATATAACTTAAACTTATTTTATTTCAGCTAGTTCCCGAGTCAACATCTCTAATCTTTGTTTAGTTTAAGCTGAAGAACTAAAATAACTAAAACTAAAACTTAATAAAAACTTTATAGGAGGCATATTTAGATGCCTCATAGGAGGCAAGGGAGGCAGTGTCTCCTCAAAAAACTGGATGGGAAAGTAATCGATATTACAAAAAATAAAACCATGCAAATATTACAAAATGTGACATTAAAAAGTATAAAAGTAACTCGGAGGCGCACCTCCTCTGTCACCTTTGACTTAAAACAGACACCCTAATGCGTGCGAGGGGGTTTAGTGGGGGGTGACTTTCTCCCAGTCATTCTCAATTAGCTCCCAATAAACCCAGCGCACGCTTTGGGAGGTCTGTTTTAAGTCAATGGGATCAGAGAAGGCACAAGAGACGCTGTTACTTCACCTGTGGGTATCACCATTGGGCATTGATACTTTATAAAAAACAGTGACTTTTACACTTTTCATGTCACATTTTGTAATATTTGCGTGTTTTTAATTTATTGTAATATCTATTATTTTCTATTCAATTTCTATAGCCAATATCTATTATTACATATTAAACAAATCTAATAAAAATGATTAGAACTAAACTTGAACTAAAATGAATGAAAACAGAACATATAAAAATAAAATCTAATTCAAAATATTAACAAAAACGATAGTACTTTTCAGTTAGGGCCTTCAGTAACAATCTCCACCAACCCCCCACCCCCCACCTGCCACCATAAGAACACCACACACACCGATTCATAAAAAATACAATGATGCACTGTATGCACTACTGCGTAACACTAACGAGACAGTTGATCTTCAACCACAGGTCACACACACTGTGCACTATATATATGCTATATACATAGGAATGATTTGCTGGTGGGACATGTTCCCACCACTTTTTGAAACATCTCGCGGCACGGATGTACCTAAACATATCCGGTTAACTAGCAGGGCATTCATTTCATTCGTTTGTTAAATAAGAGGCGTTCTAGCGCTGAAATAGAGTATGCTGTTTTTGAAATCAAGCTGCTGAGCTCGTTGCCGCGGATACAGTTGTTCTGTTTTGGCTCACGCCAGTGGCGTAGCCACGAGGGGGCCTGGGTTGGCCTAGGCCCCCTCATTTACATGTCCGGCCCCTCAGACTCTGATTGCTAAAAAAAAAAAAAAAAAAAACTTTAGGAGGCAAAATATTTTTTTAGTGATTATGTGAATTACACTGCGCAAACCAAAGTAATATGCCTACTACCCACCGGATGAAGAAGGGTTTCCTCTCAGTCTCAACAGTACATAAAATATTCATTTTATTTTATTTTATTTTTCGTGTTCGCATTTATGAGGAACACAATGTTACGGACGTGTTCTCCGTTACGGACGTGAGCGCTCTGAAAGCGGCACTAAAAGATGCTTTAAAACTTCCACAGAGACATCAAACTTTAACCTGAATTTCGTGTTGTATTAATTGTATCTTAATTTTAATCAATGTTTCATCAACCAATTGCCTGGATTTAATAAATAAGAAGTAAATATAGCAGACGATAGATAGGCCTAATCAAGAAACGGAGGCGCCGGCACGTGAACTGGAGCTCGTCACATAAATGAACCGAAACTCAGCATATAAGGTAGCCTACTTGCCTCACATGTCTATTTTTAAACAGATCAATTCAAAACTAAAGAAAACAGACTACAGACTGCTCTCTGCTAATGTAATCCTTATGAAATGTGCATTTCTCTCTGGCGCGTTCACTACTGAAGATCGTGAGTCACTCAGCATCGTCAACTTCACCTTAGCCGACAGAGAAAACACTTGTTTATTAATAAACAATTAAAATATCTCCTTGCTATATTTTACATATTCACAATCATTACTTTTGCCGGTTGTGACAGCTTTTAGGTGCTTTATTGGTAGCGCCACCCTTACATGTTACATGAGTCGTCACCGCATCACCGCACCCACCAGAATAGGTATATAAAATTCTGGCTATATTTATATATAGCCTATATATATGTTCACACGGACACGCGCTTCAATCTATCGCTCAACACCGTTGCGGAGACTCTCCATTCGTTCCGGTGAAATCACAAAACAAAATGCTATTTCTGGACATCGTAATGTTATTTTTTCAGAAAATTGTTATTGTACACATGTATAGTAGGCTACATATCTGTTGATGATCCGTTTAGATGACATCTGGAAAATCCAGCTCAGCCTCAAAAAAATAACCATATTCTTTCTGGAAATATAATCGTAGCGTACTGAAATAGACAGTATTTGAATTTAGACACGTTCAGACACACATTAATTAATTTAATTTAAGTATGAAAAAATATATATTTTTGATTTTGACAGGGCCAGTAGAGAAGGCCCTGCTTGCCCTGACGGCCCACCACTGTACTATCGTACTATCCAGTACTATCAGTGATACTAAAATAACACAGTGCAAGAGTGTCTATGTGCATGCATCCATGCCAGTTTGCTCTCTCCCGCAACTAAATCGCCTCTTTTCCAATGATCTGTTTGCTCTGAGGGCCTGCAGGATGCTGTACTGATCAATATCTCTTTGTGATCAATAACGTCCTCTCCTCTCAAACTGACAAATGCAAGCTCATCATGTGCACTATCTACAGCTGACAAGCAACTAAGATCATTTAAAGGTAGGACATGTTCTGCAATCAATATGAAAGGAGTCTGAGAGAGTTCGGCTAACCCATTCATGTCCAGAGATTGGCAAGGTGACGCATCATGAAAGAGCTCCCCATGGCTGAGGAGAGATGGACAATGTGGCCCCATGTATGAATAGCAAGAGCCAGAAATACTCTGAAGCAGACAGCTCAGTTGCTCCGAGGCGGCCGGACTGGAAAACGATCTGAATTCTGCCACAGGCAATATTTCTGTGCTGGGCTTCTGAGCAAAGCAATGCCAAAGAAGATTCTGTCTCTCCAAATATGCCACCCCATGGCCTGTCTCTCTCTTTTTCTTGGTCTGTGAAAGGAGATTTCACGCTATACAGTGCTATAAAGCTATTAAATCTTGCCACCTCTGGCCCTTTTTATTTCTAAATTTGTCAGTGCTCTGTACAAAACATAATTAAACTCATGTACAATCTACCTAAATCGAACTAAATCAACCTAAACCCTTACATTTTTTTTTTCAAAATAGAAGTTATCATCTCATGAGTTTTGGTGGAAAGAGACCAATTAAATGTGTTATTTAAGCAGGGTATATTCTATCGTGTCATTTGTATAATGAGCCGTGTTATTTGGAGAAGGACTGCCTCGCACCAGTGAAAAAAGCCCCTGGGTTTTAAAGGGAAATGCCACTAAAGTTATATTACGGGAAGTGTGGCTTCTCGTGAGGCTATATTTTGTAGGTGATGGGGGCTTTCTAATGGGATGCATTATTTTAAAGTTACCATTTGCATTTTTATACACCTTAAAAGTCAGTACACATTGGCTTAAAGACCAGCTTGGAATATTTTAGTAATCTGTACCCACAATTATTTAGAAAATATTACGCGCATTCACGCAATAAGTCTGCTCTCGTGTCAACATAACATAACACTGGCATCGTGGTGCTCTCGTGAGATGAATATTTTGTAAATAAAGTGATTTTCTTTTTGAGCAAACAAATCACTTGAGTCGCTTCATAAAATTGAGGTCAAACCATTGTGTCACATGAATTATGATGCCTTTACTACTTTTCTGGGGCTTGAAAGTGGTAGTTGCGTAGACTGTCAATGAAGGGACAGAAAGCTCTCAGATTTCCTTAAAAAGATCTTCATTTATGTTCCGAAGATGAACGAATGTCTTACGGTTTTGGAACGACATGAGGGTGAGTAATTGATGACAGAATTTTAATTTTTGGGTGAACTATTCCTTTAACTCTTTACCCACAATACACCACTCCAAACTGCAAATCCTGATGACGTTGTGGAGTACGAATGTGAGCTTTATGCTCAATCAGAGGTTTTCAAATTGGGGTCCCCAAGGTGCTACAGCAACCGTAGAAAAATTCAGAGTAATATAGTGCTCAAATGCAAATAAATAAGTATTAATGTAAAACAAGTTTTACATAATATTCATAATTTTTCATAATATACACGGGTCTTTATATGGAAATATATAGCTATCTTTTTATTTCAGGAAAGAAATCTCTATATTTTAGGGTCCATGGCATTAAATAGTTTAAATCCCTGTGTCAACTCACCATACAGGATGTTAATGAGCGAGATGGGCATGACCAAGATGCCGACCAGCATGTCCGCTACCGCAAGGGACCGCAGGAAGAAGTTTGTTGCGTTTTGCAGCTTCTTCTCCAACGACACGGCCAAAATAACCAAAATATTCCCTCCTATTGTTAGAAAGATAATCACAAGAATTAGCAGGGCTGGCCAGTTCTTTTCCTTCATCACTTCCCTTTCGACCCCATGAGGAGAAGATGAAGATGAGGAGGGGAGATTGACGCTGTAATCGGTTCCGAAGAAGCTCTGGTTCAGGCTCACAGTGGTATTACCAGGCCAGACCATCCAGCCAACGAGGTCTAGGGAGGATGTTGTAGAGCTAAACCCACCCACAACTGGCCCGCCAGGTGCCCCCATCCTCTGATGCCGTTTCCTGTCCCCTGTATCAATCAGAGCTCCTTCCAATCATGGCCGCTGATGGCCACGTATGGGAAGACGAGTTTAGAAGTTCAAAAATGAAGAAGTGATCCACTCAAAATGCTATGTGAAGGAGAAATCCACTGCGCTGAGGATATCCATAGCATTTCCTGTTCCTAGTTTCTGGCTCAGGATCTTATTCATGGAAACTGTATCTGTAAAACACAATGAGAGACACACAATACCAATGAATACCAGACAATATGAACTCATAGATAATAGACACAAAAGACTATCACTGAGAGCTGCTCAGATAAAATAATAATAGGAATCAAAGTCGCACAAAATTGAAGGTTGTGCTGAATATTTACATCTAAATGGTGACTGACAGCACTGTTGACTTGACTTGCTGAATTTATTTTCAGTTGTCAGTCAGAATATCGCCATTGTAATATTGGAAGACGCACAAATGATCAGTTACGGAAAGATCCATCCATTTCAGGCAACCATCGGCACCCTATCTCTGCGGTAATAGAGGTAATTGAGTTCACAAGTTCAAATACGCTACAATCCGAATCTCTGCGAACCTACCGCACTTCGCTGTACTGGCCTACAGGGAGTCATCATAATTCACCAGATCGGAGGTTACTCGTCATTAAATTAGCTGTATTAATAACTCAAGACACCTGTCAAAGGTAATGTGATGTAATGTCATTATTATGACATTATTATATTATTACTGATGGACAAGTGGGTAATTGTCACTTCATAAAGCCAGTCACCGAACGATGTCTAATAACGATGTGGGTAATTGCAGTTTTCACCCCATCAGTTAGGCTGTGCATTGTTGTAGGTGTACTGATGGCATGTAACGTGTGTGGGAATAACAAGTACCCACAGTGCTCTGTGCATGTATGCTTTAATTTGGAAAAAGCAGCTGAAAATGAGGAACGTGATGAATCTCACCACTAATACTCTGGTTTGAGAACTTGACAACACTTCTCCAATGGCTGTCGTTCGTCATGACTAAGTGATCAACAAAACGATCATTTAAACATACCTTTATCAGTTAAGACTAGCAGAAGAGAAGAACAAAAGTACAAATCCCTAAATCAGGTCCTCTCTAAACAGCTGAAATTGTCCCCTATAGACAGAAAATGTGAAATGCACAGGAAAATGTGACACGACCTGTCCCGGCTTCTATCTACAATGCTAAGAAATAGGTTTATTCACTGCAGGGGAGGGCAGTTTTCTGATATACAGACATGTTTCCCTGCATCTAAATAGAGAGCAAAATCGTAAAGTTCCTTAGATGCATGCAGAGACCCCGGTAGTTAACCTCTTCTCTGGAGACTTGAGATAAAGCAAATGACAGCAAAAAGTAAAACAGCCCTACAATAAATAAATCACTGGATAGTCCCTTTCCTGTGTACCACACACATACACATAAGCACGAGAGCATCTTAAATGCAATCATATACAGGTTCAAAGAAAGTGCATAAAAGCCACAAGACTTTTTTTTAGACAAATTTACAGTGAGCTCTGAATCTTAATATGACACTCCAGGCCCCATTATAAAAGAATAGAGCATCTCTTGGGAGACATGCTGGTGGGCACAAAGAATGGACACCATGATGGGCTACAGAGGGCTAAGAGACAATATCAGTATTAAGGGGCTCTGAAATGGTCTAAAACTAGAAGTCTGTTTATGAACTGTAGCATTTCTGTAGTCTGTCTCACTACACAGTGACACCAAAAAGTATTTGGACACCACACGCGCACTTTAGGGTCATTAAGTTATTTATATATTTATTGAAAGAAATTAATCCTTCTATTCGGCAAGGAAATTGATAAAAAAAAATGACAGCTAGTTAAGACATTTATAATGTTCTATTCATCAACATTATTAAGCAGCACAACTGTTTTCAACACTAATCATTTAAATCAATATAATATAAAAATCTTTTTTTTTCCCCCATCACTTGAATCCATCACTATATTTAATATAGGCCTACATTAAAATGGAAAACAGTTATTTAAATTGTAATAATATTTCACAGTATCGCTGTGAAATAAATGCAGCTTTGGTGAGAATGAGAGACTTGTTTCAAAAACATTGAACTTTATATATCACATAAAGGTCAGAAAATTCTTTGATATTTATTTTAGATTAATATTTTAGGTGTTCAAATACTATAGGTTCAGAGTATATGTGTTGGGCGAAGTGCAAAAACGAGCAAAAACCACGCAGTTGATTGAAAAGAACACTGAACTATAAAACTCTTTGTTATTATAAAGTTAACAAAGCTGATTGTGGCTCACTTGATGAGAATCCTAATCTTTTTTTTCTAACTCTCATTCTCTCTCTATTGCTCTCCCTCAAACACTCTCTTTTCCCTTCAGACACCTCTTCATCTTCCATTAATGAAGTGGATGAGAGTGCACTCACAAACTAAGTGAGATCCTGCATTCCAACAATGGGTAATTAGCCTCCTCAGCAGAAGCCAATCAAGTAACTGTGCATTGGGATAAATTGGCATGAAATAGAACGACTACAGGAAACAAGGACAATGCCCAAATACCCTCCAGCATTTAATCTGGTAATGATCAGTACTAGATTAGATTTTAGGTTCATTTGGAAAGGCTTTCATTGGGAAAATGTTATCAAAGCATTCAGAGATTCCCTTATGATCCACCAAAACAACACATAAACATCCACATTTTCTATTATAATAATATGAATACAAAAACAAAACAAAACAAAACATAAAAGGAGTACAAAATATGATTCTGCCTCAGAGTGTTTTAAACTCTGAGGCACTGACCTACATGAATGTGTTCTTAGAACTGGTCGTCTCATTTCATATTTGAATTGGAAAATGAAAAGCAGAAATGTTTTAACATGATGGGAATTGTGGGCAGGTGAATCTGCCTGAGGAGACTAACATTTCCTCCCACTAAGAAAGGTTTAAAAACCCTTTTACTTCCTGACAGGAGGGTTAAATATTCTCCAAAGCTGAATCCGAGTGGTGTGTATGTGTGAAATAAGCATACGAAATAAATGCTGAGTAGTTCATTAGTCCTGGGGCTGTCGACCGAGATCAACAGAGACAAATGAAGAACAGAGGAAGGCATTGTGAGACTAAGATTAGATTGAGTGACTCACTAAGTGAAGGAATCTGTAGAATTACAAATATAATATTACGGTCCCACGCGTTTTGTTTGGTACTATAAACGAAATGTAAAATCAGGCAAGCGGGAGTAGCCATGTGCGTGTGGGGTCTGGCACAAATAAATAATAAACAGATTTACAGGGATTCCCGAGGACCCTAATAACACAATGTGCAGGCACTAAACATATGCATATCCAGATTTCTTCTCGGCAAGTGCTTGTGAAACAGACCCCAATTGTGATCCCACAGAGAAGACTCATGTCACCTAATTTATTGTTCTGTTTAACTCAGCACTGCTTTTCATAACTGAGACATTCAGTTTTTGTCCGCAGGGCCGAATAGTAGTATATTAACCCTCTGGGGTTGTTCGTTTAACAGTCACACTTGGGGTGTTCGGGTCCAAATGGACCCAAAGGGCAGGATTCATATTTTAAAAAAGAAAATCATAATTTTTTATGATCATAATCATTTATTTTTTAACTTGTTTTCTATAATTTTTTTTCTTTTCTTTTTTGGTGTTTTGAGATATTTTATGATTTATAATTAATATTTATGCAATAATTATGACCCATTTTTTCCCATTGAACATAATAGATTTTTTTTTTTTTATTATTTAAAAAAAAAAGTTTTATCAAAGCTGTATTACATTTTAGAGTGAAGCCTAGGCCTCATGAAAGCAATTTTTAAAAAAAATATAGATGCCATCTGGTGGACACACTGAGCATTTTTATCACGCAATAGCACATTTTTACCACTAGTGGATTTACAGCTCTCTGTAGAAAGGCTTGGGGAGTCTAGTGATTTTTGCAAATATATACCAATTTTTTTTCAGGTTGTTGATTTTTAAAATATAATAACAGATTCTCAAAGACTATTTTTGTCTTGTTTTTTGTTTGTTTGGTTGGTTTAAATGGTAATTTGAAGTGCCAGTTTTACTTTATAATACAGATTTTTATAAATATATAATACAGTGTGTGTGTGTGTGTGTGTGTGTGTGTGTGTGTGTGTGTGTGTGTGTGTGTGTGTGTCTGTTTTGCACTCTTGATGTTTTAGAGATTCACCCCTTCACCGTTGAGTCATTTTTTCTGCATTCTGGCTGATTTGTATATTGTATGCACAAAAAAACTGTTTTCATATTTTTGACAATTTCCCATTCATTTCCAATGGGGGTCATTTGGACCCGAAGGTCCTAAGTGTGAGTATTTTTTTTTTTTTTTTTTTACAACCACTTAGACTATTCAAATAGACTATTCTATTTGAATAGTCTGTGTTTTCATATTGAATAATCTGTGTTTTCATATTTTTGACAATTTCACATTCATTTCCTATGGGGGTCCATTTGAACCCGAAGGTCCTGAGTTTGACTATTTTTTTTACAACCACTTAGACTATTCAGATCCTGTCCCCATTTGTTTTGTGTGTTCACATACCTAATACCATAAAAGTCACCTAGTTTCGTAACATTCCGATTAAGCTGTGATTTTTAAAAATTCAAAACAGATTTATGTACAGTAATCTGAATTTATGAGTGTGTATGTGTATAAAAGTGTGTGTGTGTTTGTGTGTGTGTGTGGATGTGTCTGTTTTGCACTCTTGATGTTTTATAGATTCTCCCCTTCACTGTTGTGTGCTTTTTTTATGGATTGTGGCTGATTTGTAGATTGTACGCCCCAAAAAACTCTGTTTTTTTCACATTTTTGCCAATTTCCCATTCATTTCCTATGGGGGTCCATTTGGACCCGAAGGTCCTGAGTGTGACTATTTTTTTTACAACCACTTAGACTGTTCACATCCTGTCCCCAATTTTTTTGGGTGTTCACATACCAAATACCAACAAAGTCACCAAATTTCGGACCATTCCGAAGAAGCTGTGATTTTTAACATTTTTTTATTTGAATGATTCGGGTCCATTTGGGCCGAACAACCCCAGAGGGTTAAGAAAGTAACCAGCAGGCTTAGAAAGCCATTTACCAAGTTTCGTTCAGTGCAGCACTTTAATGGAACAGAAAATAAATTCCAGTCTCAATTTGTCCTGGTATAGG